CTTGGTAAACATCAATTTTATCATTTCCTTTAAAAGTTCTCCTGTTTTAAAATAAATACACATCTTTAAATACGAAACTGTCAAAAGAGCAATATTTTTATAATTTATTTTCACACACATCGTGCTACTATATAAAGAGTAAAAACAAACACAAAAACCGACGTTTTTTGGCACAATGAAAAGTAAAATATTTACCATCAGTTACAGTAGTTTCAGTAACACAGTTACCATCATTAGGACTAGTGTCTATAATGGTAACCGTGTTACAGAAACTAATAATATACATGATGGTAATTGTGTTACAGAAACTAATAATATACATGATGGTAATTGTGTTACACAAACTAATAATATCTATAATGGTAAGTGTGTTACAGAAAAACAATTACCATCATAGATATTATTAGTTTGTGTAACACAATTACCATCATAGATATTATTAGTTTGTGTAACACAATTACCATCATATATACTATTAGGTTACAGAAACTAATAGTATATATAATGGTAATTGTGTTACAGAAACTAATAGTATATATGATGGTAATTGTGTTACAGAAACTAATAATATCTATGATGGTAATTGTGTTACAGAAACTAATAATATCTATGATGGTAATTGTGTTACAGACACTAATAGTATATATGATGGTAATTGTGTTACAGAAACTAATAATATCTATGATGGTAATTGTGTTACAGAAACTAATAATATCTATGATGGTAATTGTGTTACAGAAACTAATAGTATATATAATGGTAAGTGTGTTACAGAAACTAATAGTATCTATGATGGTAATTGTGTTACAGAAACTAATAGTATATATAATGGTAAGTGTGTTACAGACACTAATAGTATCTCTGATGGTAATTGTGTTACAGAAACTAATAATATCTATGATGGTAATTGTGTTACAGAAACTAATAATATCTATGATGGTAATTGTGTTACAGAAACTAATAGTATATATAATGGTAAGTGTGTTACAGAAACTAATGGTAAATATTTTACTTTTCGTTTGTTTGTTTGTTTGTTTGTTATGGATTTCGCGCAAAGCTACAAGAGGGCTATCTGCGCTAACCGTCCCTAATTTAGCAGTGTAAGACTAGAGGGAAGGCAGCTAGTCATCATCACCCACCGCCAACGCTTGGGCTACTCTTTTACCAACGAATAGTGGGATTGATCGTCACATAATAACGCCCCCACGGCTGAAAGGGCGAGCATGTTTGGTGTGACGGGGATTCGAACCCGCAACCCACAGATTGCGAGTCGAGCGCCCTAACCACCTGGCCATGCCGGGCCATTTTACCTTTCATTGTGTAAAAAAAAAAACCATCGGTTTTTGTGTCTTTTACTGTCAAGAAGCAATATTTCCTTGAACTGTTCTTTCTGTTGCTTACCTGCAGTTGCAATGTTTTCAATATCCTGTCTTTCACAAGTTGATGGAACACAAACACCCAACCGAAATGACAGGAAGTAAAAGAATTGAGCATTTCCAGCACCAACTGTTCTAAAAAACTAAAATTCAAATATTGCATATATTTCTCTATTATGACAGTATAAAAATTCTCTTCTGTATTCGAGTATTAATTAATTAGCGTTAGATTAATTGCACATTAATTCGCATATTAATGATTACTGATAGTAATAGTTGTCAAAATTTTATCATTCAGTCATTTTGTCCTACTCTGGGTTATGTATAATGTCAATAAAGCAAATTCACTGGTCTGAATTGTTACATCAGTATCATTTCACACTATTTAAAGATTGTTGCATCAGGATCATTTCACACTATTTAAAGATTGTTGTATCAGTATTGTTTCACACTACCATAGCTTGTTATATCAGTATCATTTCACACTATTTAAAGATTGTTGCATTAGTATTATTTCACACTATTTAAAGATTGTTGCATCAGGATCATTTCACACTATTTAAAGATTGTTGCATCAGTATTATTTCACACAACTAGATATTGTTGCATCAGTATCGTTGCACACTATCATAGCTTGTTACATCAGTATCATTTCACACTATTTAAAGATTGTTGCATTAGTATTATTTCACACTATTTAAATATTGTTGCATCAGTATCATTTCACACTATTTAAAGATTGTAGCATCAGTTTTATTTCGCACAATATAATGCAACGTTTCACGCTACCTAAGCATGTTACGTCAGTACCATTCTGTACTGTTTAAAGCTTGTACTATCGTTATTGTATCACACTATTTAAAGATTCATCTTACAACAGTTACAAGCCATTGTTTAAAATACAAAAGTATAAAAACAGCAGTCATAGACTCGGTCTTCTTGTCTAATCTTAAAACTATGCTGGATAGAGTTAAAAAGTTTAACGAGATTCTTCCTGTCGTAGAAAACGCACGTGACTTCGTACAAAAGCCTCGTGCCAAGAAACAAAAATAATACAAATACTAAACTCAATATTCTTATCGACGTGTATCGGATAACGTTACAAAATTTATGGCTAGAGGGCAGTAGTAGGCATAAGCTAATACATTTTTTATCACCTCAGGTATTAAGTGCTTTGGAAACGTAAACAACCCAAACACCCTCGTTGTGAAATCTTATTTAAAAGAAGAAAGTAACCACGTGAGAGTTTGTTTGTTTGTAATTAAGCACAAAGCTACACAGTGGGCTATCTGTGCTCTGCCCACCACGGGTATCGAAACCCGGTTTCTAGGGTTGTAAGTCGGCAGACATACCGCTGTGCCACTGGAAGGCACTGAGAGTTTGTTTGTTTGTAATTAAGCACAAAGCTACACAGTGGGCTATCTGTGCTCTGCCCACCACGGGTATCGAAACCCGGATTCTAGCATTGTAAGTACGCAGACATGCCGCTGTGCTACTAGAGGGGAGGGGGATTTCAGGAAAGTCAGTACACCTGAAAAACAAGCCAATTAATGTCAGGCCTATCCATCAGGTTTAAGACTTAACTTGGAATCGCTTCTAATTATGTAGACTTCTTGGATACTTGTTTTCTAAACATGGCTACGTTTATGAACGACCAGCAAGAACATAGAATGGATTTAACAGTAATAAAGATGACTCAGCCGGGAGTAGACGCTCTTGACTTTCCGACTGTTTATATAGTGCAATGACCTAGGTTGCCTAAAGAAAACGATAGTTTGTGTTTCGTCCTGTAGGGTGCAGCAGCGTTCATTTACCTCAAAGAAAAAAAAAATGTTCTAGAAACACCAAGGTCACCTCTCTCGTCTGCAACTCGATGGGACTGGTTTATACCAGTGCGACTTCGTGAAACTAGAGGAAAATTTCAATTTTCTTTTTCTTTATTAAATCCATTCGTATTATGGTTTGTGGCACTATTAAAACTGTTTAAGTAGGTTATAATAGGTATTACGCACACACACACACACAATTATCCCCCATCCTTTTTATTTTATCCAGTAAACCTTAACCCCATTTCAAAAGTTTGTTTGTTT